CAGGACGCTGTCTTACCCTGCCGGCTCACACGCTGGTGGGACCCGTCCCTGGTGGATGTTACGTGTCGGCTCTGCAGTTGTCATCTTTTCAGGGGTACTGCTTGTGGAGACGGGGAGCTGAAATGCTCAGAACTACTCTTACCATCAAGAAATGGTACAGGAGTTCAAATTTATTAGGAAAAAATGAGGCTAGAGCAAGGTTAAGTCCAACCGTTTTATTTTCTTAGCCTTGAATCTGATAGACTCCCATTGTCTTCATGGGAATTTTATTCTTCTCATGGATTTTCTTCTTATCTTAATTTTTTAGATTGCTCCTTCCCCTCCTGTAAATATCATCAAGTTGATAAGTCTGCGTAGGGAAACTTTAACTTGGGCATGTAAGAGAGGTATCAGGCAGAGATGGGGTTTCCTTTGGTCCAGCCAGGCCTTGCGTTTGCCAAGGGCACCCTGGGGGTTTGCTGCCTATTGGGCTGATTTTGATTCAGTCGCCCAGAACTGCATCATAGGGTGAAAACTTTGCCATCTGTGACACTGGAAAATGTTCAGATTCCTCCTGCTGGAAGTGCTTGGCCTTTAATGAAGCCATCACCAGGGCTGGCTCGTGGGTCCTGCAGCTCCGGGGGAAGCTCCCCGCGCTCTCCCCACGACGGGTACGAATCGGGCGTCCGTGGAGGTGGGGGTGGTGCTCACAGCAGCACTCGGCGCCCACTCCTCAGTTCAGGTTTTCTTCAGTTCTGACTTGTGCTGCAGTATTTCCTACTCAAGAAAGTCAAAATATTTTCCTACTTGGGACACATTACATATATTCTACTGGGCCCGCTCTGCGCGGGAGTCGAGGTACGTGGTCACTCTGAGCTATCTGCACATTTGGACAAGGATGAAAGCAATGAATTCATTCCAGCCCTCACCTAATCTGAGTTAATGTGCTGGGATCCCACTGGTGAAAAGCAAGGGCACTTGGCCACGGCCGTTCCTTGATCCTTTAAGAGTTTGAATCCTCGTTAAGCATGCTTGTCTTACAACTGCACTCACACAGGCTGTAATCAGTTTTGTTTTCCATCTGTTAAACAAGAGGCTTCTGATTAGGCAGTGCAAACAGAAATAATTATTTTTGTTCTTGCTGACAACAGCAAGGTTAACCGCCGCGCACCTCGCTTGTAGTGTTTTCCACACTCAGCAATTTTAAACACCTTGCTCTGTGTGCGTTACATGATTTACCTTACAACCAGCAGGGATTTGGCTTTCAATATTGTTCCTTAATTATAGTAATTGCCTAAGTGGAGATCTCGACGCCTCCCACTGTCCCACAGCCCGGAGCGGAGCAGCTCATCCAGCCGGGCAGCCTGGCCGCAGCCAGCCGAGGTGATACACAGACGTCAGTGGGAACAAAACCTGGCTTCATGGGTTTGGATCAGGGAAAACCAAACCCAACAAAATCCAAACGAAAAGCATGCAGCATTCAGTTTTCAAGAAAATATTTACGAAGGGACTCAAAGGGACTGTTGGTAAAATATACCTGGTGGATTCCAAAGTGCAGCTGGCAGAGCAGTGCATTACCCTTCAGAGCAAGGCCTATTTGATTTTTTTCAGGTGTAGGGATGTTTAACATTTTTAATTTTTGATGCTGCTAAATGGAAATGCCCAGCAGCGGGTTCTCATGAGACTGGCAGGGAAGAAGCCTTTCCTGAGCACGTACGGCCCCTGGTCAATCCTCCCATCCCTCTCCTGAGCGCTGCCTTAGCTCTGACTTGAAGGTATGATCTCCAAGCAGGTCCTTCTGTTTGCTTCTAGTGCCTTCAGTAAGGAGCAGGGGAATCACTTAAAGAAATCTCTTAATACTTGGTTTGGTGGGGGGTTTTTTGTGTGTGTGGTTTTGTTGTTTGTTTGTTTTTAAAAGGCTGGTTCTGTGTTTCCAGAACCGCATCTGATCAACCGTTAAAATGGTTTCTCCTGTAGAGAGTGGTGCTTATGAACATTAAATCCCAGCTTTCATGTTTGCACAATAAATGAAGAGAGACATTTAGGTCTAATGTAAGCAGCTAAAACTCCTTTGGACTATGGATTTATTTATTTTTTTTAAATGTAACTGTTTAGCTGCTTACATATTGGGAGCTGCAACTTATTACTGAACTATACCTGGATAGAGATGATGGGACTTCTTGATGCGTCCAGGTAGTCTCCACATCTGAAGCTACATCATCTACACGCCCTTGTATCCTCCTTTCTTTATCTTCTGAGAAGACAGTTTGCTTTTATTTAGCCACCAGATCCATTTTGTTCCCCCTAGGACAGGGATTCTCCATTTATGCAATAGCAAGATCCTGTCTGAGCGGGCAGCGGCTCGTTGGACGCAGTGCTGGCGGCGCCGAGTGCCTGCTCCAACCCCCCCTCCGACGGGCACGGGGCGGTGGGCTTGCCTGGAGACCCCGCATCCGAGTCCAGAGCCAGAAAGGCTGCTAAGAGCACCCCTCACGTTCGGAGCTGACTCTTCTGTTTGTGGTGTAAAGGAATGGTTTTCTGCTAGCGTTGAATAGTCTGGAGTAAGGATTGGCAGGCAGGTTTTTTTAAGTATTTGCACGCCTGTGTAATAAGCTGGTTATTACTTTTGCATAACCAAATCGTTGGGGAATACGGAGTTTTAGTGCAACACCTGGTATCGAGAGGACCAGCTTTGCAAGTATGATTTATCTCCTTTGCTTTTTTAAAATCATGAAATCTTATCTATGAAGACGGAAGGTGTACACCGTTCAGATTGACTTTGCTTCCCTAGAGCAAATGCCTGGACGTGGCTAGGAAAGTAGATTCGGTTGGTTTGTTCCTCTCAGGTTCGTATTTTCTCTGTATACGATGAGACAGTTTTCTCAGTGGCCGAGAAAATGGGATGCGTTCCTGTCTCTTGCAGGAGGGTGCTGAACTAAGAACGGTCAGGGCCTGCTGAAGATGGGAGAGCGAGGACCTGGGTGGCAATGCGGGCATCCCTACCCAGCCAAACATGATGGGGAGAGCTGCCCGCACCGCGGGGCTGGGGCCCGGCTCCGGGCTTCGCAGAGAGCTCGTTTGGCTGCTGCAGCGGGGTGGCGGCTGCCTGACTTCGTGCTGTAGCATCCCTTCAGTCTTAATTTTTCTCAGCAAGCTAATTTTTTTTTTTTTTCCCCCAGTTGATGAACAGAAAAACCCTTAAAGGTCGATGTCTAAGGAGGCACCTTAACCCATTAGCAGCAGTGGCAAAGTCAAAGAAAACTGCAGAGGAATGACTGGCAATTCTGCTAACATAAACGTCATCCATTTGCTGCTCTGGATTCAGGGGAGAGGGATGCTCCTGGTGCTAGGTGCTTGCCCGGGTTAGAGTTCGGGAGTGGATGACCCGGGCCCTAGTGCTTTGCATCAGAATGCATAGATCTGTTGCAAGGAACAGGAGAAAAGTTTCCGAGAAATGGTTTTAAAAAAAAAAAGTTGTTCATTCATGCAGTTATACTGATAAGAGAACAACAGTTAACTCCTTGGAAAGGCATAGACTGTTTTTTTTTTTTAAATATATATTTGTTCTGCAGTCCTCGGTGGCAAACGCATGGTAATTGCTGCTGCTGGCTAATGAGCAAAATCAAATCACGCTGTTTGCTACAGCTGCTTTCTTCAGGCTGCATTTGATTGATAGGTGGTGGATAGAAAATACAACTGGCTGAAATGGGCTTAGGTTTCTTGTTGCATAAATGAATTAAATAAGTTTCCGAACAGTGTAATTTCCCTTTTTATTTTTTTTTTCCCCCAGAAAATGGCTGTTCCACCTGCTTATGCTGATCTGGGCAAATCCGCCAGGGATGTTTTCACCAAGGGATATGGTAAGTAAAGCCAAAAGAAGTTTGGTCTTCTGCCATCTTCCTGATTCCTGAAAACTGTTAGGATTTTTATTACTTTTCCCTGATAAATATTCCAATAAATTCCATTAGAATCCAGAGAATTTTCTCTCATAGCTTCACATTGCCCTTGCCATCTGGGAAGGGAAGGTAACTGTTAATTGGACAAAATTCTTCCTGTTCCCCTCCCAGGACTGTTGTCTGAAAGAAAATTGTGTTGTATTTTGACTGTTTCCGTGTATCCTGAATAGGATCGTTGATGTCAGTAGTTTGCTTATGAGCAAAATGTTGCTCAGTGTGAATAAAGATGCTAGCACCTCATTTGGTGCCAGTTTCATTGCTGAGGTCAGTAGGATCAATCAGGCAGTGCTATCTGAAGAGTGTGCAAGCTGCATAATCTGCTTCGTCAAAACACGTGGTTTGATACCTGTACCCTTGCTTTATTTTTTTAATAGTTCACAGCTGACTTAGAAGGGAGTTTTAAGAAATAAAGCGGAAATGCTTTTCAAATTAACATATATATAATTCATATTTTTTACTCATCTTCTAGGTTTTGGGTTAATAAAACTTGATTTGAAAACAAAATCGGAAAATGGACTGGTGAGTTTGGAAACACATTGAAATCCAAAACACTGCAGTGTTCTTGTCTCTACTGTATATTTCTTTTTAAAAGTAAATACGTATCCCTTACTTTCCGCTTACCATTTTTCAGATATATTACAGCCTTGCAAGTTCCTTTGCAGTTATCATTTTTGTGTAATGTACGAGGCTGCACACAAATTAGAACAGAAGATGCAGCGAAGGGCTGCTTTGCAAATACAGTAATTGCTTACTATGAAAATGATGTTGCTATTGAGGCCATCGCCATGGCCTGTGCTCGGAGCAAGGGCCAGTGCCTCCCTCCTGCCCGGC